TCTGGAGACCCTCCCAGCTGACTTTCATACAAGTGTTTTACAAGTGCCACTGACTCAGGGATACACCCATCCACTTCTCTTTTTGGCTCATTTAAATTGAAAGGAACGTCCAAACCTTATAAATGTGACAATTCATGTCAGCATGTTAGCCTTGAGAAGGATACCTACCTTCAGCACCGAAAGCCTCTTGCTGCCAAAAGTGTTCAGGATCATCCTTCTTCACGATGATTATTCATAGCTTTTGAAATCTGCCATGTTTTGATTTATACACATATCTAATCATTTTTGTACTGCTTTGTGACTGAGTTTTGAATTCATTGTCTTGTCCTTCTTCTAAAGTGAACTGTTGTAACTCAGTTATCAAAACAACAGTAGAAAAACCGGAATTGGTTTAACAAGTTTATTACCTTTTGGTACAGGGAAACATAATGTAGAATAGAAACTAGGGAAGAGAATGTTTAGCCGTGAATGTTTTCAGCTGAAGCTACTGCTGCTCCTGCTACTCCTCTTGATGTAGATGTATTTTTATGTCTTTCATCCAATGGCTGAGTCCAAACTTGTAGGGAAATATTCTCCCTCACAACATGAACCCTTTATTTAATCTATGAGAAGAGCCTGTTCTTGTCCCACTGCCTATATCTACTAGGGTTGACTTGTTATTTTTAATACTGCTCAGTTATTTATTGCTCTATTTACATTAAATCAAAGTATACACTGCCCTCTAGACTTGAAGAGGTCAAGATTTAATTAGTGAATAACATGGAGAACTTTCAGAGGGATAACTGACATCCATTAAACATGGATCTAGAACAGTCTACCCCAGTGAGTTCAACATTCCAACCACTCAAAGAAGGCCAGAGGGTACAACAGCCAAAAGGTAATAAATATGGTGACAAATATGAGGACAATAGTCCGAATAATGTAAAAAATGCCTTCTAGTCCTGTTTAATAGAACAAGGAGGAGTGTGAACCAGGTGATAGGTGAACCTATTCCTCGTAATTCGTGAAGCAAGCCCTCAGGTATATCCTATACTTACTATATATATAACTACTGATATAGTCAGTCCACATAGGTGATAAGGAGTGTGAGACATTCTATTACAACATGTATGTAACCCATGTTTCATCATCTGTTTTGATATATTTTAGGAATGATTAGTTAGCATGATAAATTCATCATTACAATTGATCCCAAAAACGTCCCCCTCATATAGGTCAAATAAGGCTTGTATCAGTGGCGGGGGGGGTTATTGTTCTAAAAAACAAAAAAGATTCTAACAATCCAAAATGTTAAGCTGTGAATAAAAAATTAAAAAAAAAAAAAAAAATCAGGAATTACATTTTTTTTTATGATTCCTTGCAAATCCTTATTGCTACTTTTATGATGTTGGATGGCTTTGCTTGTCACTTTTACTATCTCAAGCGAAAGTCCGTTATCACTCCCAAAAATTCTTGTTGTAGTTGAGACTTTCTAGATACTGGTACTTGTAGTAATAACGCCTTCTAATAATATTCGCACTAGTAATACTTGTTCAAGTAGTAGTCTGTCACTAGCATAATGCGCAGAAGAGAATTGTGATCCGTATATTAGAGAGAATGAACATATTGCAATAGTAGATAGCCATGGATGGTGAATGGAGATTATTTAGTCAACACTTCCTATTTATTCACTTCCTTTATTATCTTCTTAATGGAATCGCCCATGTTATTCACTGGCGATCTAGTTTCAATCCAGTGTCAGCAACAACACTTACTCTTATACAAAAACTTTTTACTCATCTGAATATCTAAGCACTGAATTATATTCATGAATTCTATATATCTGTATGTATAATGAGCTATGTGCAGAAATTCTGAGCATTTTTTTTTTCTTCAAGACTAAATACTCAGTTGAACAACAAACTTTTGCACACTCCTAAAAATTTAGTGTGTATCATTGTATTTGTCGTGGCCTGTTTAGGGACCAGAAAGAAAGACATGGAAGATGAAGGTAAGTTGAAAAAGTATATTGAAGATATATATAAAACAAGAGTGTTAGTAATAAGTAAATTAGCACTGCATCTACTACTCCACTCCACTTCACACTTTGCGCTCCTGTCCGACTCTCGGAGTTTGTATTCATGAGAGGAGGAAGAGTTCATTCTACTGTAAGAGGGTTTACCACAACAGTATTTAAATATTTGCAGAAAATATATCCATATCCATATACAAAGAAGAATCTGAAATGTTATCAGCCAGGACCTGGTATCTCAGCTTCATTCACTTTCCCACCACCATAATGTTGCTTCCTTGTACCTTTTCTATAAATATTTTAACAGTAATTGTTTTGGTAAGCTTTGCTCTTGATACCTAAATTTTATGAATTTAAATGCAGTGCTAGATTGGCAGCTAGGTCTCATCATTTTACAGTTGAAATAGCTAGAGGTCAGGGTTGGTGTATATTACCCCCCCTCCCCCACTGGTTTTGTGACCCTTGCTATCTTATTAACATTTGTTTGTCCTCAAGGACACATGGCACAATGGATAAAGGCGTTAGTTAGATCCAGTGACAGGACCCAAAGAGTTGTGAGTTCAATACCTGGTTGGAGAACTTGGAGAGGGGAATTAACAGGAGATAACTGACATCCATTAGACATGGCATGTGGAACTAGAACAGTCTACCCCCAGTGAGCGAAATAAAGGGTTCAGTTCGAAGTTCACCTGAAGAAGGTCGGAGTATACAACGGCCGAAACGTTGTGATAAATATGGCAACAAAGATGAGGACGATAGTCCAAACAATGTAAATAGTGTACATAATACCTCATCTCAGAAACATAGACAGATACTGAAGGGCCGAAACGTTGTAATAAATATGGCAACAAAGATGAGGACAATAGTCTGAATGATGTAAATAGTGTACATAATACCTCATCTCAGAAATATAGACAGATATTGTTTTTTTTTTTTCTACCTACATTTACATATGTTACAAATTAAACTAAGCACAACTGATTATTAAAAATGTAAACTTTTAGCAGGTTTTGACATCTTTTTGTTTTTCGTCCAAATCTGTCAATTTGTTTTGCACATGCTAAGTCAAAAAAACATGATATAAAATTCACTATTTTTTATCCATAATGTTGAATGTGTTAGAATTATTCAGATTTTTAACAAGAAAAATCTTAAGTTGATGTTAAAAATTGTTACAAAACATATATTTATAGAATGTTCTATTATGATGGGTCTCTAATTTCCATTTAGATACATTGTACAAGCTACTTTCTCTGTTACCCCAACTGCATGAATTTAAGCATGCTACTAGGTTGGCATCTCAGTCCCACCCTTTCACTGCTGAAACAGTTAAATGTAACCGCCTCTTCTACTCCAACAGCTTCTCTTGCACTTCCCGACAGTGGAACAACCTTCCCCTTACTTGCTTCCCTGATAGCTATAATCTTCAAATATTCAAATGTAATGTCAATCGACATCTTCTGATTCCTTGATCTGGATCCCTGTTCTCCTCTCTTTACTCTTGCTCTCACTCTCTGTAACCCATTGCATACTAGTGGCCCTCCTGCCTTGCTTGGAATGAAATGCTTAAAAAAAAAAAAAAAAGTTTTTCTAGTTGAATTGTTCACCTATATTGTATATGATCCATTATTGTATATAATTAGGTTGCAATAAAATTTGTATTTTATATGAATACAACCTTATGAAAACTGAGATTAAGTACAGTGGGGACTGTGTGTCATAGATTCAGGTGAAGCCCATGAGACTCTTGCATTGGCCCTTCTAGGGGTAACCATAAGTTCTATGTTAACATTTTTTTCACTCACATTTTACTCTTGAAGAACTTTCTTTTAGCTTTTTGCTTTCCAGTCAATTTTGACTTTCAAAAATTAAAAATGTGCTGCCAATTGTTATCTTCTGAATTTCTCTTTTTATTTTTCTCTTTCCTTAATGTTTTCTTTTTCTCATATTCCCTTGTTCTCTGTTATCCCTTGTGTTTTAGTGGCTTTATTGCCTTGATTGGGGTAAAATGGTTAAAAAAAAAAGTGTAAAAATCTCTCTGCCATATTTTCAAGCTTATGCTGTAAAATCTTAAATCTTTGTCTATTATTTTTCTGTTTCATTTCAAAGCCAGAAACAAACCTTTTATTCTTAAACCTTTTATTTTTGTCGTTCTTTCTTGTACTGAAAACATAAATGCAACAAAGTATTTTCTTCAAATTCTTTTTCATTCCTGCTGACGAGGAACATGCATGTCAAATTCTATGGGTTTCTTTTTCTAACTGTTAATACCTACCCTTACTCAGAGGTTCCCTGGGTCCCTACACTTTACTTGTCACCAACAGACAGGCAATAAGGGAGGCAGACACTTTGGGGTTTTTGCAATTAAGGGGAAAGTCAGGGAGATAATATTTCAGTTTTAGGCGAGCAAAAAGAACTTTTCTTTAGCAAAGGTTGTTTAATGGGTTGAGTCGCTGAAAAGGAAGGGAAGGAGAAGAGAAAAGATTGTTTAACGGGTGGGGTCGCTGAAAAGGGAGGGAAGGAGAAGAGAAAAGTTGTGATAGAGGGGGGGAAACAAGAAAGAAAGAAAATGGGGAAGTTGAAGTTTAAGAAGAAAGAGTGCTTGCTTAGTGCATGAGATAGTTGCATATTTCTACCTTCCTAGAGCCTCACAAGTGTGGCACTTTCACAAGACTTAGCAAGACTTGGTAAATATTTACATAAGATATTTACTGTAGAACAATGGTTAACAAACAGTATTGATTGATATTTCACTTTTTGCCTCAATATTGTCTTAGCACCAAACAAAATTAAGCTGAATAAATCTTTTGTGGATCTTAGCTTTCCATAGAGAAATAATCCTCAGGCTCTAGCTTTGTCAACTTGTTATATACAATAGAATTTCAAGTCTTGGTGGAATTCAGAATTTCAAATGCTGTTTTTTCAAGTAAGCAGCTTCTCCCCACTTGGGAGTATGACATAAAGTTTCCTTACTTGGCCTTGTGCCAGACTAGATTGAATGGGAAATATTTAGAGAGAAAATGAGGAGGAATGACAGTTGATTAAGAAAAAAATGACTTGAAGAATGAAAAGGGAAAAGGGAACGAAAAAAGGAAATGGTTAGAAGAATGAATAAAAAAAAAAGAATAAAAAGTGAATGAAAAAGAAATGTCTGGAAGAATAAACAAAAGGAATGAAGAAAAAAAATGTCTGGAAGAATAAAACAAAAGGAATGAAGAAAAAAAAATGTCTGGAAGAATAAACAAAAGGAATGAAGAAAAAAATGTCTGGAAGAATAAACAAAAGGAATGAAGAAAAAAAATGTCTGGAAGAATAAACAAAAGGAATGAAGAAAAAAAATGTCTGGAAGAATAAACAAAAGGAATGAAGAAAAAAAATGTCTGGAAGAATAAACAAAAGGAATGAAGAAAAAAAATGTCTGGAAGAATAAACAAAAGGAATGAAGAAAAAAAATGTCTGGAAGAATAAACAAAAGGAATGAAGAAAAAAAATGTCTGGAAGAATGAATGGAAGGAATGAAGAAAAAAAATGTCTGGAAGAATGAATGGAAGGAATGAAGAAAAAAAATGTCTGGAAGAATGAATGGAAGGAATGAAGAAAAAAAATGTCTGGAAGAATGAATGGAAGAAATGAAGAAAAAAAATGTCTGGAAGAATGAATGGAAGAAATGAAGAAAAAAAATGTCTGGAAGAATGAATGGAAGAAATGAAGAAAAAAAATGTCTGGAAGAATGAATGGAAGAAATGAAGAAAAAAATGTCTGGAAGAATGAATGGAAGAAATGAAGAAAAAAAAATGTCTGGAAGAATGAATGGAAGAAATGAAGAAAAAAAAAATGTCTGGAAGAATGAATGGAAGAAATGAAAAAAAAAATGTCTGGAAGAATGAATGGAAGAAATGAAGAAAAAAAATGTCTGGAAGAATGAATGGAAGAAATGAAGAAAAAATGTCTGGAAGAATGAATGGAAGAAATGAAGAAAAAAATGTCTGGAAAATGAATGGAAGAAATGAAGAAAAAAATGTCTGGAAGAATGAATGGAAGAAATGAAAAAAAAAAATGTCTGGAAGAATGAATGGAAGAAATGAAGAAAAAAAAAATGTCTGGAAGAATGAATGGAAGAAATGAAGAAAAAAAAATGTCTGGAAGAATGAATGGAAGAAATGAAAAAAAAAAATGTCTGGAAGAATGAATGGAAGAAATGAAGAAAAAAATGTCTGGAAGAATGAATGGAAGAAATGAAGAAAAAAAAAATGTCTGGAAGAATGAATGGAAGAAATGAAGAAAAAAAATGTCTGGAAGAATGAATGGAAGAAATGAAGAAAAAAAAATGTCTGGAAGAATGAATGGAAGAAATGAAGAAAAAAATGTCTGGAAGAATGAATGGAAGAAATGAAGAAAAAAAAAAATCTGGAAGAATGAATGGAAGAAATGAAGAAAAAAAATGTCTGGAAGAATGAATGGAAGAAATGAAGAAAAAAAAAATGTCTGGAAGAATGAATGGAAGAAATGAAAAAAAAATGTCTGGAAGAATGAATGGAAGAAATGAAGAAAAAAATGTCTGGAAGAATGAATGGAAGAAATGAAGAAAAAAATGTCTGGAAGAATGAATGGAAGAAATGAAGAAAAAAAATGTCTGGAAGAATGAATGGAAGAAATGAAGAAAAAAAATGTCTGGAAGAATGAATGGAAGAAATGAAGAAAAAAAAAATGTCTGGAAGAATGAATGGAAGAAATGAAGAAAAAAATGTCTGGAAGAATGAATGGAAGAAATGAAAAAAAAAAATGTCTGGAAGAATGAATGGAAGAAATGAAGAAAAAAAAAATGTCTGGAAGAATGAATGGAAGAAATGAAGAAAAAAAATGTCTGGAAGAATGAATGGAAGAAATGAAGAAAAAAAATGTCTGGAAGAATGAATGGAAGAAATGAAGAAAAAAAATGTCTGGAAGAATGAATGGAAGAAATGAAGAAAAAAAATGTCTGGAAGAATGAATGGAAGAAATGAAGAAAAAAAATGTCTGGAAGAATGAATGGAAGAAATGAAAGAAAAGAACTGAAGTGAAAAATAAATCCACCTCTAAAATGGTTAAGAGGTTGGAAACTATTTCCCAGGAAATGTTTGGTTGAATGACAACCAAATTAAATCATAATTCCACATGGGCCGCTAAGATTATTTCTCTTTCGTTTTGTTGAATTTTTAATTACAGGCAAAAAATTGAAAGAAATGGCATGAAGAAGAAAACAAAATTGAAAGAAATGGCATGAAGAAGAAAACAAAATTGAAAGAAATGGCATGAAGAAGAAAACAAAATTGAAAGAAATGGCATGAAGAAGAAAACAAAATTGAAAGAAATGGCAAAGAAAAAACAAAATTGAAAGAAATGGCATGAAGAAAAAACAAAATTGAAAGAAATGGCATGAAGAAGAAAAACAAAATTGAAAAGAAATGGCATGAAGAAAAAACAAAATTGAAAGAAATGGCATGAAGAAGAAAACAAAATTGAAAGAAATGGCATGAAGAAGAAAACAAAATTGAAAGAAATGGCATGAAGAAGAAAACAAAATTGAAAGAAATGGCATGAAGAAGAAAACAAAATTGAAAGAAATGGCATGAAGAAGAAAACAAAATTGAAAGAAATGGCATGAAGAAGAATGAGTTCTTTTTTCATACTTTTTTGCTAATTGACGTATTTGCACTGTACCAGTCTAAAACAAGTGGGGTTTATTATTTGTGTCCACATCAAAAATATCTGTAGGCTTTGCCTAAAAATATGAAATTGTATAATTGTATCTGTAGGCTTTGCCTAAAAATATCCTCTCAGCACTTCTGCATAAAAGCCATATTGTATCTGTGTGCTTTAGGAAATATCTCTTACATACATACATAAAATTTTTTTTCTTTTAATCATTTTGCCCAAAGCAAGGTGATAATGCCACTAAGATGCAAGGGTTTGATTGATTGATTGACTCATTTTCTATGGTTTATCAACCCTTTGCATGTTATTTAAAGCCAGAAAATATTTTTAGATTAGATTTTTTTTTTTCTATTTTTTTATAGATATTAATGATTTAGTGATGCAAGTCTTACTACTTAATCCATAGCTGGAGGAAGAGGTGGAGTCATACCTAATCAGAATTTGATAAACAAGAAATTATAATATAGGTATAAAATTGTGTGTGTGTGGGGGGGGGTGATATTAATTCTTATATTAAAATCAATAAACTGATCTCTCACTTTGTGGTCATGGTAGTTTCTATTCCAGAGAATGTAAATAAATCTAAGACATGCCTGTGTAGCTAATCAGTATTTCATTGATTGATTTGTTTTCTACAGCTTATCCAGCCTTTGCAGGTTATTTAAAGCCAGAAAATAATTTTAGATTTTAAGAAATTTTTTTTTTTTTTTTTTTTTGTTTATACATGCAAATTATCCTTGGAAAAGGTGAGTGAATATAACAAACTTGATGTGAATTAAAACTCTGCTCTCTGATTAACAATTCTAAGCCATTCTCAATTAAATCACCTGCACATCCAAGCTTACAACACCTGGTATTTATTCCCAGGTGGTCACCCATCTAGACGCTGGCCAGGCTTAACTTTGGTGATTATACAGGAACCAGAGTTTCAACATGATGTGACTGTAACTGAAGAAGCAGGTGGGGGATTACTGGGAGAGAAAGAGAATGAGAAGACTTTAGGAGAAAGTTAAATTTCAGCATTGAATAACCCATATAGAGTTGATACACTGTTTATACAGGTAAATTTTTTCAGGAAGGGTTAAAATTCATGTTTATTTGGTGATCATAACTTACCTGGTAGGCCTACACACTCTCGCAGTATCTTTGACTATTCTTAATGGTACAGGTAAACTCCTTTAGCCTGTTCCCGTAGCCTAGATTCTTTCTGTTGCTACATGAACAGCAGAATGTCATTCAATATGTGTGCCATTTAAAATCTACAAATAAAGTAAAAAAAAAAAAACATTTGAGTAAAGGGTACTTTTTACTTAGAATGACTTGAATTATCTTAACCCTGCATTATGTACCTCAACTCGTGGGACACACTACATTATGTACCTCAAACATGGTCAGCTCATTATGGCCATATTCATAGTTAACGTTATTGAGTGTTGACTTTTCTTTTTTATTTTCAGAGCTTCCATTATTTTTAATCTTTGTTTTACATGTGGATGAGGCTATTATACTTGTGTTTCTAGGATGTTTCATGTTTATATATATATATATATATATATATATATATATATATATATATCTATGTATGTGTGTGTGTTTTAAGAAAATCCATTTTGGTTATAATTTATATCATGAATATATTAAATATTCATGAAATAAATTATAACCAAAATGGATTCTTTTTAATAAGTAAAGAAAATCTTAAAAATTAAATTATAACTGAAATAGATTTTTAAGGATTTTCTTTACTTATTATATTGCTCTGTTACTTATATTTAGCTCTTTGAATTATATATATACACACACACACACACATTTGTGTATTTAGGCAGCAATCCTTCTTTCATGCACATTTCATTGAATACAACAGACAAGGTGCTTTGATTTAGTTTTTTATACAATTTCTCATGCGATCTAATAATTTTTTTTTCTTTTCAGATAAATTATATAAAAACTGTCCAAATGTTCTTTTAATCTGAGCGCTTTCAGCTATACATTTAGCCATTTTCAAGGTTGAAATATTTTAACTGTTAAATAAAAAACATTTGGACAGTTTTTATATAATTTATCATCTGAAAAGAAAAAAAATTATTAGAAAATTATGAGAAATTGTATAAAAAAACTAAATCAAAGCACCTTGTCTGACATATTTAATGAAATGTGCATATATATATATATATATATATATATATATAAAATGTTATCCACAGACACCGCTTAACTGTATTAAAGCTCATCAGTGTGGCTAGAGATGCAATTGCTTCAGGCCAAAATCGAAACCCGACCAATCTGACATCTGTCAGTCTCTCATCCTTACACTATCAGTGCACGCAGTGGCGAAAGGGAATTTTTAATGCATTATATACGGGATATAAGCATTCCCAGCTGCCAGAGTGCTCAATTCATAGTGAAGAGCATTGGGCATTAATTAACAGCAGCCTAAGAGAAGGGGCATATATATATTCAAAGCATTATTTATCAGTCATATTTAAAATAGATGCTTCATTTTTATTTATTAGACAATATGTATTACTTCATCTATTGGTCTGTATATTCAAGAAAACTTTGTAAAGAAAATGTCTTCTGACAGGGATTGAACCTGCATCTTCCTTCGTAGTGGTGGGGGGGACTACTATTTGATCTTGCCCTTTTTACCATGAAGAATGTCATAGTAAAGCTCTATTTTCCATTTTTAAGGAAATAAATTTTATGGATGAAATGGTAGTTTCTCCTATGAAGGAAGATCTCAAATGCACCGTCCAATAGACGATAAACGTAATACACTCTATTCAATAAATAAAAATGGGTCGTCTGTTTCAAATATGAAGTATTTACTATAATAATGTTTGAAGTAATAACAATATAGAATTTAAAATCTATTATTTCTTTAGAAATATCTATAATTTTTAAAAAAATTTTCAGATTAGGTACATTTTAACAAAGAATTTTCAGAATTCAACTTTTCAGAATTCAACTTTTTATAATTTAGGTATAAAAGTAAGTTGTTTTCACTTTGAAATAAAGTTTGGGAAAACCAAACAGTTCCCAAAGAGGAAAACATAGCCGATCTTTTTTTTTTTTTTTTTTTTCTGAAAGTACATATTCTTGAGATGAGGATATTAGTCGAAATCCAACTCATACTTGCCAGCAATGTCTCATCATTTTGTGTAAGTACATACACGTGCCGCCTGTCTTCTTACACACTTGGCTTTTAAGGAGATGCACTTGCAAATGAGAAAAAGGATCCCTTATCTTGACTCCCCAAACAAAGTATTGTGCCCCAACTCACACTGAAACAGCACAAAGAAATTTTGTTATTTATATTTTTTTATTTCTTCTTTTCCTCTCAAAACTTTTGGGGATTTTTTTTTTTTTTTTTTTTTTTTGCTTCTGAAAACAAATGTTTCTACTCATCAAATTTGGGATTGCAGAAATTTAAAAGAATATTTTTTTTGTGTACCATACTCTTCAGGACGTGGGCGATCATTGTTCTCCACAGCATTCCTTTCTAGCTCTTGACAATGTTTATCTTTTTACTAACCTTCCCACACCCTGTTCTGCTATCTCTTTACACAAGCTCATTTCCCTCTCTCTCTCTCTCTCTCTCTCTCAGTATGCCCTGAGTGTGTCAAATTCCCTCAGCCTTTTTCCCTCATTATGTGTCGCAAAAATTTCAACTGTCACTTTCTGAATCTATGCATACATGTTGTCTTTTTGTTTCCATTTTCCTTAAAATTTCATCATTACTCACATGGTCCTTCTCTAGCCATTAGTTTCTTCCTCATCTGTTAGAAAATTGTCCAGGATTCATTGCCGTATGGAGGGGGGAGGATTGATGTTAAATAGAACTCCCTCATTCTTTTCTTTGCTTCTAATGAAATTGTTCTCTTGATAGTTTGTTTACTTTCAAAAGGCATCTTTCTCTGTTCTGTTTTGCGTCTTGTCAAGAGGGTTTTGCGTCTTTTGTCAAGAGGGTTTTGCGTCTTTTGTCAAGAGGGTTTTGCGTCTTTTGTCAAGAGGGTTTTGCGTCTTTTGTCAAGAGGGTTTTGCGTCTTTTTTTAAAACAGGTAACTTGAATTCAGTTCCAGCTTTTAAAATTTTACTTTTTTTTTTTTTTTTCTTTTTTGCTTCTGAATATTCACTCACCAAAAACAATTATTAAATAATCAGTCAATTCTATTTTTGAAATCAAAGGAAACTATTTTTCAAAATTGTGATTGCATTGATTTAAAAAAAAAATTGCTTTTGGTTCTAGTTTATTTGTTTGTCTCCATAAGCATCTTAACAGACATTATGAAAAATACACAATCAATAATTAATAAAATAGAAACATTAAATTAATGAATATCTTTAAAAATTCTTCATCAAATCACTTTTCAGTTATATGAAATGGCTTTTAGGTTGAGTTATTACTCTGAGTAAATAATTATAAAGCCCCTAACATTCATATAAACAAAAATACTTGTAAAAGTGAGAAATAACAAGACATGGAAACAACAAAATGGGTATTATTTATTATGTGGTGTTGGAGAGACAATTTTGAAAATTTCTTCCGGCAGCTCCTGTTCTTTTAGTTCTTCATTTCTTAAAAGAAAGATTCCAGTAAGCCTAGAAGTGGTTTAAAGAAGATAAAATGAATTGCATTTTATCAGCCTCTTTTTAAAGACCATGATCTCTCACTTCCGGAAAGAATATGGCCCATACTGGGTTTAACAGCAAAATTGTCCAAATAGTGTAACAGCAAAATTGTTCAATTGTTAGATTAAACTCTGAACTGTCGTATCTTAGAAATGATTAAATATATCTTACTGGAATTCTCTGAGGTTTTTCTAACACTATTGGGCTCTACTTTGAATAATAATAATGTATTTATCTCTAAGTTGAAATGATGATCCTTCTTCCTGTTGTAACCTCCTGATCCTCTACTGTTGCCTCTTTTTAAAAACTTATTCGTCGTTCTCTTGATGGTTCTTGAA